GTGAGAAATAGAGGTCCGTTAAAATCTCCTTTTTGCAGCGGAGGCGAGTGTAACGCATCATGGACCTGTAGGGGCAGAGAGATGTGTCGGAGCGAGCTGTTATTATGTTGCAGGCGCCTTTGATCTTTGAATGTTTGAGATGAAGCTTGAAATGGTCAGGGGACATTATGTTGGGTGAAGAAGACCGACCTTTGTTTAATGCTTCCACTGGGTCGAGATTATCACACATGACAGAGATCCTCTTTCTCTGCCACGTGTGATTCCACAGCGCGCAGGCCATGACCACTGGGAATATCTCGTGTAGGGCAGAGGAGATGCTCCGGTGGAAAAGTAGCGGGCCACGGCCCGGCAACCCAATGGTCCTGGAAGAATCCCCCAAAACCCACGGAAGGGGCAGCGTCCGTGTAGAAGCGGAGACCTGTAGGGGCAGAGAGACATGCCGGAGAGGGCCATTGATGTTGCAGGCGCCCTTACGCTTAGAATCTTGGGTTGGAGAGTAGATAATCAGGATAGTAGGATGGTCGGGAAAGCCGTGTCTCGGACCGCATGAAGGTTGAGTGAGCAATAGTGAACTCGCTTATGCAGAGAAGCCATAGAAGGAGAGCAGGAAGATGCTGCGAGGAGGGCAGACATGTACTTGGAAGATGAGCCGGAGTTCAGTGCCGCTCAGAGCTGCTGCAGGATGGGCAGCATGATGGGGAGCCTGCGATCAGAAGAGTGAAGAATACAGGTATGGATGCCTTTGATTAGGAGTCCGATTGACGGCTCAGCACAGCTACTTGGCCGGCTGCATCTGATAGAATCAGAAGATTAAGTAGAGAGATGAAGCACGACCGCCGAAGCGACCCTGGGAGCATAGGTGCGAGTCCAGCGCAGCGCGGCATACTAAGCCGGGCTGCATCCATTAGAAGCAGGATAAGCTTCTGAGAGAATGGGTTGCATCAGTAGCAGTAGCAGCAGCAGCAGTAGCAGTATGAAGCAGCAGTTGTATCCTTAGACAATGACAGTTGTAGCTGTTCAGTGTTTCAGCAAGAGAGAGATGTAAAGTGAAGAGACGTCAAAGTAAATGAAGCAGTAGCAGTAGCAGCAGCAGCAGTAGTTGCAGCAGTAGCAGTAGCAGCAGCAGCAGCAGCGGTAGCAGCAGTATCCTTAGAGTAATAATCCTGTATCAAAGCCACAGCAGTAGAACATGTTGTAGCTGTTTAGTGTTTCAGTAAAAGAGATGTAAAGTGTAGAGAGATGTCAAAGTAAATGAAGCAGCAGCAGCACAGCAGCAGTATGAAGCAGCAGAAGCAGCATTAGCAGGAGCAGTAGAACCACAATGCGATTCATACGAACAGACGTGTCACGCCAGCGTGCCCCGCTTGTCTCCGTGAGCCAGGTTACATACGTGTCTGAAAGAGCCGAGCCGTAGAGACAGGTGCAGCCTGGGAGCCTGCGGAGCGGCAGCGGCAGGAACAGCAGCAGCGGCACATGTAGTAGTAGGAGCAGCAGGAGCAGGCAGCAGGGACAGACAGCAGCAGGAGCGGCAGCAGGAACAGGCAGCAGCAGGAGCGGCAGCAGGAACAGGCAGCAGCAGGAGCGGCAGCAGGAACAGGCAGCAGCAGGAGCGGCAGCAGGAACAGGCAGCAGCAGGAGCGGCAGCAGGAACAGGCAGCAGCAGGAGCGGCAGCAGGGACAGGCAGCAGCGGGAACAGGCATCAGCGGGAATAGGCGTCAGTAGGAACGGGGAGCAGGCATCAGTAGGAGCAGCAGGAACACGCAGCAGCAGGAACAGCAGTAGCAGAAACAGGCAGCAGTAGGAGCAGACATCAGTAGGAGCAGCAGGGACCGGCAGCAGCGGCGGTCAGAGAACCATGCCTATGGTTGTTTTAAGAGCCTCAGGAAATAAATGAATCTGAATCCGAAACATTCCCATGCGAATAACAGATGTCCCCTGGAGCCATCTTCTGCTTTGGTTATGGCAGATACGCATGAACGATCACTTTTCCACACGTTCATTAGCTCCAACTCCACTTCACACTTATTGCAGATTCACATTGGGCCCTTTTTCTTACTGCTGCACGTTCAAAATGCAACAACTGCAGTTTAGTTACCTAATCATTTAATACTAGTGACCTAGCTATTTAAATGCATGGCCCCTCCTTTATCCCTCAGATAAACTAATTTAAATACATTCATTTAACAATAGTGACCTGCGAGTAATAAGATTAATGCTGTAAGATGGCGCCGTGGCAAGAGCTCTGGTGTGTGCCGTCTGGAGCACGCTGGGGTAGTCTTGCAAATTATTTTTTTTTCAACGTGGTTTTACTGCAAGTAGAAAAACATGAATCTGAATTAATGCACATTGCTCCTCTTATATCCCTCAGACAATAAAGATTAATGCCATTTAATATGCATTGTCCCTCAGTTAGCTCGACACATGTGAAAACGGAGCCTGCAGACCAAGCCCGGGGCGAAAACTGACGCCTGCAGTCCAGTGCGTAGGGCAAAAACCAACCGGCCGCAGCCCAGACTCAGGGAATAATCCGTCCGCAGCCAGCACCTCACCACCACACATGCCAGAAGACGTGGGAAAAGCAACGGGACAACGCGGCACCGCCAATCGGAGGCAGGGACACGCACGGCGCCGGGCCAGACCGTCTGCACACAGCAACAGACCACGAGGAGACGAGCAGCACAGAGCCCGCGGAGGGGCCCCGCGGAGCAGCCCGCAGAAGAGCAGTGGAGACACGCGAACCACAGCAGGTGCAGGGACGCGGAGGAGGAGCAGACCACGAGCAGCCAGACTGAGGACAGCAGGGCCACGCGCACGAGCAACACGTGAGCAGAAGCGACCCCTCCAGAACAACGCATGCATTTGCGAACAGGTGCGTTAGCGACATGCACCTTGCAGACTTCAGAAGCTTGCTGACTTCAGAAGGCCGGGAAGTGGGCGTCTCCGGCTTTTAACTTGCTGTCCTGGTGGTTATTGGTTGATTAGATGTGGGCGTTGCTGGTATTGATGAGTCGAGGATGAGCAGGCTTGTAGGTCTGGGCAAGCAGCAGCCGGGTCTAAGATAAGATAAGATTGCTTTATTTATCTCACAGAGGAGAAATTTACATGTCACATTTGGCATGGATAGAGACACTCAGATTGTGCAAAGGGAGGAAATGTGCAAACAAGTTACATGCAGGATATATGTACAATAAAGTGACAATAATTATGTACAACAAAAGTGACAAGTGTCAATTGGAAACAGTGTCAATAGTAGTGCAGGTTTTCACACAGTGATCATTTAAAGTGACTTATTGTACAGTCTGACAGCGGTGGGGATAAAGGCCCTGCGGTAGCGCTCCTTCCTACACTGAGGGTGCCTCAGTCTTCCACTGAAGGAGCTCCTCAGCTCCTCTACAGTCCTGTGCAGTGGGAGGTATTGTTCATGGCTGGCTTTGGTGGCTTTGGCTAGCACCCTCCTGTCCCTCACCTCCTCCTGACCAGCTTGTTCAGTCTGTTTCTGTCCCGCTCTGTGCTGCCCGGGGCCCAGCACACGGCAGCGTAGTAAATGGCAGAAGCTACCACAGAGTCATAAAAAGTCCTGAGCAGAGGCCTGCTCACTCCGAAGGACCTCAGCCTCCTCAGAAGGACCTCAGCCTCCTCAGAAGGACCTCAGCCTCCTCAGAAGGACCTCAGCCTCCTCAGAAGGACCTCAGCCTCCTCAGAAGAAAGAGGCGACTTTGGCCCTTTTTGTGCAGGGCGTTTGTATTATGGACCAGTCCAGTTTATTGTTAATGTGAACACCCAGGTACTTGAAGCTGTCCACCAGCTCAATGTCCTCCCCCTGGATGTTCAGCAGCGTGTGGGAAAGTGGTTTTCTCCTGAAGTCGATGACCATCTCCTTGGTCTTACTGGTGTTCAAGCACAAGTGGTTGCGCTCACACCAGTCGACAAAGTCCTTGATAACCGACCGATATTCCAGTTGGTTCCCCTCAGACACACAGCCCACGATGGCGGAGTCGTCGGAGAACTTCTGCAGGTGACAGCTGTGTGTGTCGTGTGTGAAGTCTGAGGTGTAGATGGTGAAGAGAAACGGTGAGAGGACAGTGCCCTGAGGGGCCCCAGTGCTGCAGACGACCACCTCAGACTCACAGCTGCAGCCGCACGTACTGTGGTCGGTCTGAGAGGTATTTGATGGTCCATGCATCAACTACCTCTCAGACCGACCACAGTGAACTTTCGCGAAAGCTCCATAACAATCTGAGCTGATGTCTAAAATCTTTTTTGTAGCAATATTTATTCATCCATCCATTTTCTTTCCCTTAATCCATTTCTGGGTCGGGGGTGGCAGTCAGAGCACCAGCCCCTCACTGATTCTCCTGCAGGTGCTGAGTCCACAAGGGCCTTGGTTATTCAGTGGGGGCTTCAGGCAGAGTGGGGTTCAGTGTCTTGCCCAAGGACACAACGGCAGCAGACATCAGTGGAAGTCGATGGAGAAGGTCTTGTGGTGGACTCAAACCCACAACCTTCAGGCTCAAAGGCCAATGCTCTACCAACTGAGCCACTGTCACTGTCGATATATTTATGTCTTTATCTATTTAAATCATGGACATAACAATACATCTTACAATTACATGTCACACAAATGAAAAGGAGCAGAAAGAAGAAAATAAATCTTTCTTCAAACATGTGCGAATTAAATAAAAATAAGATGGACTTCAGAACTCCTTCGTCAAACTGTTTTTATTCTATGTTTTTTATTTATTTTCAAAATTCTTCGTTTTTGGATTATATACTTCATTCATTCATTTCATACGATTTCACTGTTGCTTTGATTTTTTTCTTGAACTTGTGGATCTTTGCAGAATATTCAAGCTGATTCCATAATTTTACTCCGACCACTGATATTCCCGGTGGTTCTGGGTGGTTCTGGGTGGTTCTGGGTGGCTTTGGGTGGTTCTGGGTGGCTTTGGGTGGTTCTGGGTGGCTTTGGGTGGTTCTGGGTGGTTCTGGGTGGTTTTAGGTGGTTTTGGGTGGTTCTGGGTGGTTTTGGGTGGTTCTGGGTGGTTCGGGGTGGTTCGGGGTGGTTCTGGGTGGTTCTGGGTGGCTTTGGGTGGCTTTGGGTGGTTCTGGGTGGTTCTGGGTAGTTTTGGGTGGTTCTGGGTGGTTTTGGGTGGTTCGGGGTGGTTCTGGGTGGTTCTGGGTGGCTTTGGGTGGTTCTGGGTGGTTCTGGGTGGTTTTGGGTGGTTTTGGGTGGCTTTGGGTGGTTCTGGGTGGCTTTGGGTGGTTCGGGGTGGTTCATGGTGGTTCGGGGTGGTTCTGGGTGGTTCTGGGTGGCTTTGGGTGGTTCGGGGTGGTTCATGGTGGTTCGGGGTGGTTCTGGGTGGTTCTGGGTGGCTTTGGGTGGCTTTGGGTGGTTCGGGGTGGTTCATGGTGGTTCGGGGTGGTTCTGGGTGGTTCTGGGTGGCTTTGGGTGGTTCGGGGTGGTTCTGGGTGGTTATGGGTGGCTTTGGGTGGCTTTGGGTGGTTCGGGGTGGTTCATGGTGGTTCGGGGTGGTTCTGGCAAAAGGGGCAGAAGCAATATGCACTGGAGCTAAATATGTACTAATGCCTAATTCATTCTAATTAGTATAAAAAAGGCATCTTAAAGGTACAGGCAGAGTAGTGGGTGCTGTAGGAGGTACGTTGGTAGGAAACAGGACTTCTAGTGAATGGTTTTATATTCTGGTGCTGTGTGATGTCTTGGGACCATAAAGAAGCTAAATGTTGTTTTGAGGCGTTTCCCATTTACAAATATTCAACGTCACTATTTATGAATGAATGTTTGTAAATGTTTGTAAACTGAACTCAGACATCATGTGATTCGGCCTGATGTATGAACGGTGCTTTTGTATAATTATGGATATTTAGTTCATTTTCCATCTCAATATTGATCTGAAACTAGAGAACAGAATCTTTTTATTGCCATGAGAGTAAAAAGAAGGCACAGACAGGACATTGCTTTGGCTCTCGGTGAAAACAAGTCAGAAATATAGAGAAAGATTAAGCCATAATCAAACATTTCTAAAGTGTAATATTTTCTAAAATAGTTAGATGAGATGTTAGAGGCCGCAAATTACTGTCTCTGAGTCTTAAACTTTTAACTTAAAAAACCCTGGATTAGGTTTTTTGCAATGACCTGAAATCCAATGTAGCCCATTGTGAGAATATAAACTCTTAATTATTTTTACAAAACATTGGCTGTCGGGAAACATTTGACTTCCGAAGTTTGAAGTTTGATATTTGCATTAGCATTTACCAAGAATGTGCAAACCCTGAGCCCGCAAAAACACCAGTAAGTTACTCTGAGGATGGTTTTCACCCTGAGTCCTGCCTCATGGACCGGACCGGGCTCAGATCTCCACAGCTGTGCTCCCAGAACCTGCCAGTGACACACCATCCATCACTCAGAACCAGGACCAGAGAGGACAGACCTGCGCTCAGCCAAACAGGTCCCGGGTCCAGCCACAACTTCAGGCCTGGTGTTAATCTGAAACAGGAGGAGGCCATTTCCTCTCCAGCATTTACACTCTGCAGGTTTATCCCGGGTCATGACACAGCCCCAAAGGTACAGTCTAAATGTGCTGACTGTGGGAAGAGTGGGAGGTTTCCATCATGAAGAAATGGACCCTCGACTGAAAGAGTTTTTTGGCTGATTCATTCCAAGTCGGACTCGAGACTCAGTTGGACTCAAGACATCAATCACCAATTAGCTTTGACTCTGTGGCGTGTGGCGGCGTACGTTGTTAGCAAAGCTTCAGGAAATCCTCCCCAGTCATAAATCCATAGGTACTCTCAACACAGATTCAACAATGTACGGATCGGTCAATGCACCTAAAACGCAATTGGCACGGTATTAACCTTTTTTAAAACTGTATAACCTGTATATCAGTCTCACTAATACTTTTTTGGTCAGTTTTTGGTTCAAGCTAATCATATCTGAACTCACTTTGTTCATTAAAACCTACCAAAAAACCTGTGTTGTACAAATCAAACGCTGGATATATGTGTAATGTTGTATAATATAGACACATGTATTAATCTACCTGGTTATGGTTCTTATTGACAGACTTTAAATGGTAAGCGCCTCTTTGTTTATCCTGGTATGTGTAAGTATATGTTTTGTAATTAAATCTGTATAATTGTACTCGTCAATCACGTTACGGCGATGTTGATTTTTCACTGACCTCGAATGCGGCCGAAACGTGTGCGTGGGCAGAATACAGAACAAACAAAAGTACAATTATATCTGGTATACCTCTGTGGTACAAGCTATTAAACATTTATATAGACATGTTACGCAGCTGCCGCCAGAAGGAAGGGAACGCTGCCAATTATACCACATTAACCAGCATGACCAGAGCCACTTATGAAGCCAAACTATTCGCCAGTTCAGAGAGTTTAAGTGCTGCCTCCAGCCACGAGAGCTGCACAAACAAGACCGATTCTGGGGACTGGGGCTAGAACATGAGTGGAGGTGTGTCTCCTGGGGGCCGTACACACGCATACACAAAGGCATACACAGGCATACACAAAGGCATACACAGGCATACACACACATACACACACAGGCATACACAGGCATACACAGGCATACACAAAGGCATACACAGGCATACACACACATACACACACAGGCATACACAGGCATACACAGGCATACACAAAGGCATACACAGGCACACACACGCATACACAAAGGCATACACAGATATACACAGGCATACACACACATACACAGGCATACACACGCATACACAAAGGCATACACAGATATACACACGCATACACAAAGGCATACACAGATATACACAGGCATACACAGGCATACACACGCATACACACATACACACACATACACACGCATACACACGCATACACAGGCATACACAGGCATACACACACATACACAGGCACATACACAGGCATACACACACATACACTCGCATACACACATATACGCAATCATACACACGCAGATAGCTAGTGTTGATAAAAGCCGTGCAAAGCTGCTCCGTTATGGTCCATGAGTGAAAAGATATGTGTCCTTTTTCTTGGGAGAGGCCTCGACTGTGTTTTAACTTCTGGACATTTCTGGGCTGGAATGCACGGCTGGTCCCCTAGACTCGTATCCATGTGCGAAACTTTCAACAGCTCGTCAGACAGAACTATAGCCGATATATACTTCTCCATTTACAGTTTTTTCCTGTTGCTTGAACACTATAGACAGACGCTTAGACCAAAGTTACAGAACCTGAAACTTTTGTTCTAAACCTAAAACACAGACTGACCATTCCTTAAACAAAAGTACTGCTTTGCACTTTCCTTTCATTTCTACAACACACTTTCTTCTTTTGCAACACACTATCTCTTTCTGCAACACACTTTCTCTTTCTGCAACACACTTTCTCTTTCTGCAACACACTTTCTCTTGCTCACTACACACTGTGTCATACATAAGACACTTTGTGCATATTTGCAATCCTGTGTTATCGTTGGGAAAACACATCTATTCAAAATACCAAACACATTGTGTGACTAAAAACACTGAGACACACACCAGAAAACACTGAATTACAAAATGCAACACACATCAGACAGACACAAACAGGCTTCAGTTTAGCCATTTTCAGAACTTTGCAAGTTTGAAGGCAGGAAGAGCAAGACAGAGGAAGACAAGGAGTTTAAGAGGATTAAAACAACACAATATTTTTATGACATTAGAGCAACTTTTGTGGATCTTGTGATAAACCACCGCCTCAAACTGAGGGAAGCAGAGAGTCCAGACAAGGTCCTTCAGGACCTACATGTTTCCAACGCTCTACTGCAGACTGTATCTACAGTATTTACAGTACTGTATCACATGTACTGTAAGTCTCTACTGCAGACTGTATCTACAGTATTTACAGTACTGTATCACATGTACTGTAAGTCTCTACTGCAGACTGTATCTACAGTATTTACAGTACTGTATCACATGTACTGTAAGTCTCTACTGCAGACTGTACTACAGTATTTACAGTACTGTCTCACATGTACTGTAAGTCTCTACTGCAGACTGTACTACAGTATTTACAGTACTGTATCACATGTACTGTAAGTCTCTACTGCAGATTGTACTACAGTATTTACAGTACTGTTCTGTATCACATGTACTGTAAGTCTCTACTGCAGACTGTATCTACAGTATTTACAGTACTGTATCACATGTACTGTAAGTCTCTACTGCAGACTGTATCTACAGTATTTACAGTACTGTATCACATGTACTGTAAGTCTCTACTGCAGACTGTATCTACAGTATTTACAGTACTGTATCACATGTACTGTAAGTCTCTACTGCAGACTGTACCTACAGTATTTACAGTACTGTATCACATGTACTGTAAGTCTCTACTGCAGACTGTACTACAGTATTTACAGTACTGTTCTGTATCACATGTACTGTAAGTCTCTACTGCAGACTGTACTACAGTATTTACAGTACTGTATCACATGTACTGTAAGTCTCTATTGCAGACTGTACTACAGTATTTACAGTACTGTTCTGTATCACATGTACTGTAAGTCTCTACTGCAGACTGTACTACAGTATTTACAGTACTGTATCACATGTACTGTAAGTCTCTATTGCAGACTGTACTACAGTATTTACAGTACTGTTCTGTATCACATGTACTGTAAGTCTCTATTGCAGACTGTACCTACAGTATTTACAGTACTGTATCACATCTACTGTAAGTCTCTACTGCAGACTGTACCTACAGTATTTACAGTACTGTATCACATGTACTGTAACTCTCTACTGCAGACTGTACCTACAGTATTTACAGTACTGTATCACATGTACTGTAAGTCTCTACTGCAGACTGTACCTACAGTATTTACAGTACTGTATCACATGTACTGTAAGTCTCTACTGCAGACTGTACCTACAGTATTTACAGTACTGTATCACATGTACTGTAAGTCTCTACTGCAGACTGTACTACAGTATTTACAGTACTGTTCTGTATCACATGTACTGTTTTGCAAGTTGGCTATTGCTCCTTTTTGAAAAAAATGTGGTTTTGTGAAACATACAAGACGGTAAAGTACATAAAACTGCGATATAACAGTAATGTGTACATTTGTACTGTAAAAAAACTAAACCTATAGTAACAATTTGGGGTTTCATATTTATACAAAATGACTAAAAGAACATCCGGAGGTGGTCGGCAACTGTTCACCAACAACATGAACTTGCCTTCGTGGAAATAGTTAGACCATGAACCATGATCCATAATCCACACACGCACAACTGCTTAGTTTTACATTAGAGTTTTTTTGTTTTACTGCATTGACACAAATACAGTATACCGTAGTACTGTGATATACAGTATATTGTAGTACTGTAATGTGATGTACAGTATATTGTAGTACTGTAATGTGATGTACAGTATATTGTAGTACTGTGATGTACAGTATATACTGTAGTACTGTACTGTAAAGTATACTGTAGTACTGCACTATAAAGTATACTGTAGTACTGTACTGTGAAGTATACTGTAGTACTGCACTATAAAGTAT